TCGCCCGGCGCCGAGAGACGCCCGCCGGGGTTATGTAACTCGCCTGTCCCGGGGCCGGGGGAGGGCTCGGGCTGGGCACGGTGTGGTCCACGGCCCCTTCTTCTTGCCCCAGCTTCTGATCTTGTCCTGTCACAGCTCCTGCCTCTACGGGCACTTGTGATCTTCAGTGTCCTCCCCGCCCCCCCACCGGTGTGTCCACCCCTGGAAGTGTTTCCGTGTCAGAGGGTTGGCCCCTTCCCCTGGGACCACAGGTGGCTGTGGACCTTTCCTGAGATCATCCAGCCCGGATACTCAGTGTTCAGGTAGCCCCCGTCCCGCAGAGTTTATTCTATATGTGTCTTAAGAGCCATGAAGGTACCTTTATGTATGGATGTGACCAACACAGCGTACATGTGCAGTACCCTGCCTGACACCCACCCTAGGGCATTGCCTCACCTATCCGTGTTTACTCACCCTGACGTCTAAGACGTGTATACTCACTTGTGTTGAGTAAGTAAAAGCACCAATTCCATAGTTTAAGGGCAATGGAACTTTTGTAATTTACAGTATTGCATAAATTATATGAAAAGGCAAATATGTTAGTTAATTACAAAAAAGTCCTGAATCCACATTCACTATTTAGTTTATATATATTTGTGAAAGGCTCAATCACTATTGAATCTATCTATGCACAAGGCAAATGGACTTTGAAAAAGAGAACTCAACATACCGATTCCATTTTCTTTGTGAGGTCATGTATTCTTAATAAGTTATAAAGTTAAAATAAAAGTTCAAGTTACCAAGCTGGTGAAAAGTCGTATTAAAAGTGTTGTGTTTTAAATTTGATAGCAGCACTAAGTACCAAAGGAACTTTGTCCGTGATGGAACTGTTCTCTTTTGTGATGTCCAATAGGGTAGCCAAGCTGCTAGCCATACGGGACTTTTCAAATGTGGCTAGAGTGATGGAGGAACTGAATTTTGAATTTTATTTATATAGTCACATGTAGCTAGTAGCCACTGTATTGGATAGGGAACAGCTATTGACCAGTCATGAGTTGTATTGTTTATTTGTAGAATACAATTGATTGTGATTTATTTTATTTATTTATTTATTTATTTTGAGATGGAGTTTCACTCTTATTGCCCAGGCTGGGGTGCAATGGCGCTATCTCCGCTCACTGCAACCTCTACCTCCCGGGTTCAAGCGATTCTCCTACCTCAGCCTCCCGAGTAGCTGGGGTTACAGGCATGAGCCACCACGCCCACCTGATTTTTTTGTATTTTTAGTAGAGACGGGGTTTCTACATGTTGGTCAGGCTGGTCTCGAACTCCTGACCTCAGGTGATCCGCCCGCCTCAGCCTCCTAAAGTGCTGGGGTTACAGGTATGAGCCACCGTGGCTGGCCTTGATTGTGACTTTGAATGCTCCCAAATGAGTGTGGACCTACTAAGCACAGTGTACTTGTCATCCAAAAATGTTTTTCGTCATCCTTGGTATCTTTATCATAAAGATGTCTTATCACCTCTTGGATGTCACAATCACTAGAGCTCCTATTTTGGTTACTGCAGTCATTCTGTTGTAATGAGAGGCGTTTTAAGTGGCTTTCTTACAACTGCCGTTGGGAATATTTGCTTCATATCATCCAACATTTATTGAGAATTTACTGTGGTTCTTTGTAGGGACTTGGGATTTATATTAGGGTTCAAATTCCAGCTCCACTTTCAAATTAATGTAGCCTAATCATTTATATTACTTTGTGACATCTCTGGTACATTGATGTGTATTTGTGTGTATGTCTTGTTTAACCAGACTTCAGCTTTGTTGAAACCAGGGATTTTCTTTCTTTGTTATACGGTGCCACAAATCAAGTATACATAAATACTTAATTTATATGGAATTAATGCAAAGTAACAGGTATTATTAATGAAACTGGAGGAGGGTCTTGAAAAGGAAAAGCGATTTCAATTTGATACTGGAAATAACAGTATGTTTTTTGGCCACATTTAGTCAAGGAGTCTAGCCAATATATTATTCAGTAGTCAATATAACATTATCAATAATCAAAGCTACCATTTATTGAGTATTTACTATGAACCAGATGCCATGCAAAGGATATTATATGTATTTGCTCATTTAATCTTCATTTCAATTGACGTAAGTACTCACATTTTATATGAGGAAACTAAGGCTATCTTCAGCCCAGATCTTTCCTGAGCTCCCTTGCTTGATATCTCTTGCCTATTTCACATTTCTTCTTAGATGCTTCAAAGGCCCCTAGAACTGCACGAGTTTAAAATCCACCTCAGTCTTACCCCATGACAGATACTTCTAGTGATTCGAATGATTCCACTGTGCATTCAGCTGGCAGGGCAGAAACCTAGAGATTTTCTTTGGCACTTCCCTCTCTCTCTTTTCTTTTCTTTTTTTTTCCTGAGACAGGGTCTTGCTCTGTCACCTAGGCTGGAGTGCAGTGGTGTGATCTCAACTCACTGCAGCCTTTGCCTCCCGGGTTCTATCGATTCTCCTGCCTCAGCCTCCTGGGTAGCTGAGTTTACAGGTGCCCACCACCACACCTGGCTAATTTTTGTATTGTTAGTAGAGGCGGGGTTTCACCATGGCTAGGCTGGTCTCGAACGCCTGACTTCAGGTGATCCGCCCGCCTCAGCCTCCCAAAGTGCTGGGATTACAGGTGTGAGCCACCACGCCCCCGGCCACTTTCCTCTCTTTCACTTCCCCTATTTAAGCCTTTACTAAGTCTGTACATTTTACCTTCTAAATATCTATCAATTCTACCCATTTCCTACCTTCACCATAGCCCAAACTGTCACTATTTCTTCTCTTTACCAATTACCTCAGCCTCTCATTAATTCAGCCCCCTTCCCACAAACACAAAGCGAGTGGGATCCTTTCAAAATGAATGTATGACATCCTCCTGTTAGAAACCCTTAGTAGCTGTAAGACCCTTTGTGGTCTGGCTGCTCCCTACCTCTCAGCTTTATGTCGTACCACTTGTCCCCTCATTCTATCCCTTTGGGTTAAATTGGACCTTTTTCATTCCCTATACTCACCAGTCTCCCCTTTTCTCCAGGGTCTTTGCACATGCTGTTCTCTCAACCTGGAATGCTAACCCCTCACACCCCCCTTACTTTCAGTTAACTTGTAATTATCTTTTAGATCCCCTTTTATGCTTCTTCAGAGAGCCATTTCCCATCCTCCCTGACTAAATTATGTCTTCTTTAAATCTGTTTTTTGTTTTTTAAAGAGACAGGGTCTCTGTCTGTTGTGTAGACTTGAGTGCAGAGGCATGATCATGGCTCACTGCAGCCTTGATCTTCTGGGCTCAGGAGATCCTCTGGCATCAGTCTCCCCAGTAGCTGGGACCACAGGCATGTACCACCATGCCCAACAAGGTTTTTGTTTTTGTTTTTCTATTTTTTATGGAGAGGAGGTCTCCCTATGTTGCTCAGACTGGTCTCACTCCTGGCCTCAAACTATCCTCCTGCCTTAGCGTTCCAAAGTGCTGGGATTACAGGCTTCAGCCACCACGCAGGGCCTATCTTCTTTATTTTTTTTTTTAAAGATGGAATCTTGCTCTGTCACCCAGGCTGGAGTGCAGCAGTACAATCTTGGCTCACTGCAACCTCCACCTCCCAGAGTTCAAGCGATTCTCCTGCCTCAGCCTCCTGAGTAGCTGTGATTACAGGTGTGTACCACCAAGCCCGGCTAATTTTTGTATTTTTAGTGGAACCTGACTGGTCTCGAACTCTTGACCTGAAGTCATTTGGCCCCCGCAAAGTGCTGGGATTACAGGTGTGAGCCACTGTGCCAGGCCAGGGCCCATTTTCTTTAAATCTTTTTGTATTGCTATGTAACTTCCTAGTGACAGCTATTAACAGTTGCAGTTTTGTATTTGTTTATGTGATTGGTTGGTAGCCCCATCAGAGCAGGTATTGTTTCTGTCTCCCTAATTGCAGTCCCAGTTCCATGCATAACACCTGGCTTACCTCTGACCTTTCATACTATTCTTCCCTATGCAAGCACAGTCACCCCTCCTCCCTTCTTAATACTTAACCTGTTTGTTCTGCCCAGACTCATAGCTTTGATTTCCTCCTCTGTCACAGCTAGTTTTTTAGATGTTACCTCCTCAGAGAAACCATTTGTACTCAAAAGTAAAGTAGTTCGTACTTAGAGTAATTCCCCCCTCCCCACCAATAACACCCTGTTTATTTCCTTTTTCATGAACTATAATTATTATGTACTTGTTTATTATATATATGTCTTTCTACTAGAGTTTAAGCTTCCTGAGAGCAGAGGCTTTGTTTGTCTTGTTCTTTGGGGTAACCCTAGCCCCTAACAGTGCTTATGGTAGGCATTCAATAAAATGTTTTTTCCACATCAGATGGGTCATGTGATGACTTTTCACAAAGTTTGAGAGACACATCTCACACATGAGTATGAAAACGAAGAATCTTTAGATTAATGAACACCTTGTTAGAGCAAGATTCTAATTTAATCAGATTCACCTGACTGAAAAATCCATGTTCTTAACCTATTTTTTGATTGCTTAAAATAATACGGCATTATATCAAAATTAACTGTAATATATTAGTTGTTCTATGCACTTTTACGTGTATTAACTCATTTAATCTTCATTTTACACATGAAGAAACAATAGCACAGAGAGGCAAAGTAACTGGCTTAAGGTAACATGCAAGAAAGTGTCAGGACCAAGATTCAAACATAGCTAGTCTCAACCTAGAACCTGTTTTCCTTTTTTTTTTTTTTTTTTTTTTTTTTTTTGAGATGGAGTCTCGCTCTGCTGCCTAGGCTGGAGTGCAGTGGCCAGATCTCAGCTCACTGCAAGCTCCGCCTCCTGAGTTTACGCCATTCTCCTGCCTTAGCCTCCCAAGTAGCTGGGACTACAGGCGCCCGCCACGTCGCCCGGCTATTTTTTTTTTTTTTTTTATTTTTTAGTAGAAACGGGCTTTCACCGTGTTAGCCAGGACGGTCTCGATCTCCTGACCTTGTGATCCGCCCGTCTCGGCCTCCCAAAGTGCTGGAATTACAGGCTTGAGCCACCGCACCCGGCCAGAACCTGTTTTCTTAACCACTATGCTATCCTGCATCTAGAAAAAGGAAAAAAGGGCCGGTTGCGGTGGCTCACGCCTGTAATCCCAGCACTTTGGGAGGCCAAGCTGGGTGGATCACCTGAGGTCAGGAGTTCGAGACCAGCCTGGCCAACATGGCGAAACCCTTTCTCTACTAAATATACAAAAATTAGCTGCATATGGTGGCATGCACCTGTAATCCTAGCTACCTGGAAGACTGAGGCAGGGAGAATTGCTTGAACCTGGGAGGTGGAGGTTGCAGTGAGCTGAGATTACGCCACTGCACTCCAACCTGGGTGACAGAGTGAGACTCCATCTTCAAAAAAAAAAAAAAAAGGAAAAGGAAAAAAGGTTAAAGGTTAAAGGTGATTGGTCAGAATCCCCAGGATACGGTTCCTGCCTTCATGGAGCAGGAATGGATATTCTTATGGCCTATACCTCTTCAGCTCTCTGCTTAAACATCACCTGTCATAGAAGCTAATCATGAACACCTTATATACAAATAGTTTTCCTTCCCCCCCATCCCAACCCTGCATATTCTTCTGCTTTATTTTTTCCAGAGTGCTTATCATGACTCGATAGCTGTTTTTGTTTGTCTCCCATCACTAGAATGTACATTCCATGAGAGCAGGGACTTTGACTGTTTTGCTTGCTGTTGTATTCCCATTGCCTAGAGCAGGTAGGGACTGGCATGCCATCAGCACTCTACATATTCAGTGAGTGAATGGTTACTACTTTTTCTCAAATGCACTACATATCTGTTGGTAAACAGATGTGTGTATTATCTACTGTTGCTGCTTTACAGTTGTGTTGCGTTGTTTGAGACTTTTTAGCAAGATTTTGTGTCATTCACCCCCATGACTTTACTGCCTTTTGTCGTTAAGCTTCATTTGCCTTACGGAAGCTGTTATGGTGTCCTGTTAACTATTCTTCACATCTAGGCAAGAGAGTAGAGTGAAAATAAGTGTCTTTAATGCTAATAGGTGTCTGTTTTACAAGTCTCTTATACTGACCTGTGGAGGAACAAATCAGTTGAAGTTTAGTGATCAGAGATGCAGAGTGTTTAAGGATCTGAGATGAAGTGTTTCATAACTGCCATACTTTATCTGTTGCTTCTCATTTTAAGTCTGTTACCCATTTATAGGAGATGTAAATCATGGCTGCTTTTGTTAAATAGCAAAGAGGATTAATCTGTCCTCTCTGATTTTTGTTCCTAGTTCATGTTCTTTTTTATTTAATCCCCTGAGATCATCCTTAATTATTATTTTTCAGATGACTTGGACTTTGCAATGTATACATCCAGTTCTGAGATTTTTAAATTTAGTGCTTTCTCGCTCTCAAAAAGCTTCTGTCTCTATTGACTTTTCTACTTTCCCTACCCATAGATCCTATCATTCATTCACACCAGAACCTGTGGCCTGATGTTTCTCAAAATGGGTTACCTGCAACAGAATCCCCTGTTGTTTATTAATAATATAGATTGAGTCTAGATTCTGCGTGTATGAGGAGCTTCCTTGTTATTCTAATTTCTTTTTTATTTTTTTAAGGCGGAGTCTTACTCTGTCTGTCAGGCTGAAGTGCAGTGGTGCGGTCACAGCTCACTGCAGCCTCAACCTCCCAGGCTCCAGCAAGCTTCTCACATCAGCCTCCTGAGTAGCTGAGACTGGAGGCACGTGCCACCATATCCAGTGAATTAAAATTTTTTTTTAGAGACAGGATCTCCCTATGTTGCCCAGGCTGGTCTCAGACTCCTGGCCTCAGGCAATCCTTCCCACCTTGGTCTTCCAAAGCACTGGGATGACAGTTGTTAGCCATCACACCTGGCCTCTAATGTACAGTAGAGTTTGTTTTATCCAGTGGACCCCTCCAACTTTAGCCCCTCTTGGCCATTCTGTATTCCCTTTTCCAGCTTAAATCTTGAAGTATTGCATATACCTGCATTCTAGACTTTCGCTTGCTATGACAGTCCCTGAATCATTTCCATTGTCTGTTTTTCCCACTCCATTACCACGTCATTCTTTGCCTCAGTAGATGTCAGTTCCCTTTCTCTTTTCTTCCAGCACCACAGCACACCTGGATGAGGATCCAAAATTACCTCTGTCCCCACTCTTGCTCGCTCTTCTCTTTCTTCATTTTCTTCTCCTGGAATGGTCTCCAGTTCTCACAACTTCAGCAAGACTCTCATATGTCTCTCTCCAGTTCTTTCTTTATCTGAGTTCTGGTTTATAGTTTGAATGGTATGCTAGATATTTCTAATTGCACATTCCACCATCTCTTCAAACTCAGTATTACTAAAACTAAATGGATCACTTTTACCCCCAAACCAAAGTCTTTTTCTCTTACTTTGGTTATGAAATAATTACTGATTTGTTTTATTTTTAATTTCAGGTTCTTCAGCAAAAGCCCTTGTCAGTTTAAAAGGTAAGAAGTATCGTATTTTTAGGTATACCATAGCTAAAAGTCTAATTCATTAAATTCATGTGGATATAGTGTTTCCCTTTTCCTTCTAAGTTATGATTCATTGTAGCTTTTCAGTATTGGTTTTCACTGATAACCTTAAATAAATATGCTTTTATAGGAGAATTGATCCTCAGTTGTTAGAAATTGTTTTTAAAATTTTCTAAAATTATTGATTAAAAACTTTTCTAATTAAACATTCCATAAATATTTAGATTAAAAACATTTGTTAAACAACTGTGCTGAGCTATATGTTAGCATAATTGTTTGTTTGTTTATTTGTTTTTGAGACAGTCTCTCTGTTGCCCAGGCTGGAGTACAATGGTGCAATCTTGGCTCACTGCAACCTCTGCCTCCCAGGTTCAAGTGATTCTCGTGCCTCAGCCCCCTGAGTAGTTGGGATTACAGGCATGTGCCACCATGCCTGGCTAATTTTTATGTTTTTAGTAGAGATGGGATTTCACCATGTTGGCCAGACTGGCCTCAAACTCCTGGCCTCAAGTGATCTGCCCACCTTGGCCTCCCAAAGTGCTGGGATTACAGACGTGAGCCACTGTGCCCAGCAGATTTTTTGTTTATTTATTTTTTGAGACAGGGTCTCGCTCTGTCACACAGGCTAGAGTGCGGTGACGTGACTACAGTTCACTGCAGCCTTGACCTCCTGGGCTCAAGTGATTCTCTTGCCTCAGCCTCCTGTGTAGCTGGGACCACAGGCAAATGCCACCATGCCCAGCTAATTTCTTTATTTTTTGTAGAGAGGAGGCCTCACTTTGTTGCCCAGGCTGGTCTCGAACTCCTGGACTCAAGGGATCCTGCTGCCTCAGTTTTGCAAAGTGCTGGGATTATAGGCATGAGCCACCACATCTGGCCTGTAATAGCTTATTTTTAAGAGTCTTGCTTTCACCGGGCACGGTGGCTCATGCCTGTAATCCCGGCACTTTGGGAGGCCTCATGAGGCAGGTGGACCACTTGAATTCAGGAGTTCGAAACCAGCCTGGCTAACATAGTGAAACGCTGTCTCTATTAAAAATACAAAATTAGCCGGGAGTGGTGGCAGACACCTGTAATCCCAGCTACTTGAGAAGCTGAGGCAGGAGAATTGCTTGAACCTGGGAGGCGGAGGTTGTCGTAAGCCGAGATTGCGCCATCGCACTCCAGTCTGGGTGACAGAGTGAGACTCTGTCTCAAATTAAAAAAAAAAAAAAATCTTGCTTTCTAAGTAATAATGCCCTGAAATAAAAGAATGATAGTACTTTTCTCATTCTAAGAAAAAGTTTGACATGTTCCTTGGTCTCACTATTTCTTTTGGCAGGTACATTAGACTAACCCTTTTAACACAGTTCCTTTAAAATTTTACCTCTTGATTAAGATTCTAGTAGGTCAATAAATTTGGAACCAAGTTAAATATTCTCAAAGGTTCATTAGTACTTTTAGTTTTTAAAGCTACTATATTGTTCTTTGGATTGGTGATTTACCAAATTAAATCCTTCTAGCTTGAGGAGACCACTTGTCTTCCAGAACACCCCAATTTCTTTGCCTAGCAGGATCAACTCCATCCCACTTCTGTTCTTTTGCGATTCTTAAAAATTATTCCATTATTCTTTTTCTCCCAATATTAAAGTCATTTCTCTCTCCCTTTTTTTTTTTTTTTTTTTTTTTTGAGACTGAGTCTTGCTTTGTTGCCCAGGCTGGAGTGGAGTGGCACAATATCTCAGCTCGGGTCAAGTGAGTCTTGTGCCTCAGCCTCCTGAGTAGCTGGGACTGCAGGCATACATCACCACACCTGGCTAATTTTTGTATTTTTAGTAGAGATGGGGTTTCGTCATGTTGGCCAGCCTGGTGTTGAACTCCTGACCTCAGGTGATCCTCCCACTTTGGCCTCCCAACGTGCTGGGATTACAGGTGTGAGCCACCATACCCGGCACTCATTCATCTTTATAAAAACATTTATATAAGTATTATGTATTTCTTATGGAAAAAATGAGAAAATGCTGATGAGCCACTAGAAGAAAATAAAAATAACCATCTTGTATATTCATCCTAGTTTTCTATGCCTCTATATAAACATCTTTTTTACAAAAATTAAACTCACCCCTCTTTATTTTCACAATATGTCTAATCATTATAATGTGTGTAATCATAATGTCTATTTGATACAACTTTTTTTCTGGTTATGTACAGCTCTGAAGACATTTCTCTGAATTAAGGAAAATGAAATAACCACGCTGATTTACTTTTTCATTTTTTGTGAGGGGACAGAGACTCGCCGTGTTGCGCATACTGAAGTGCAGTGGTACTGTCTCAGCTTGCTTTGACCCTGGCTTGCTTCGACCTTCGCCTCCCAGGTTCCAGCGATTCTCTGCTTTAGCCTCCTGAATAGCTGGGACTACAGGGGTGCGCCACCATGCCCGGCTAATTTTTGTATTTTTTGTAGAGGTAGGGTTTCACCATGTTGGCCAGGTTGACCTCAAACTCATGACCTCAAATGATCCACCCGCCTCGGCCTCCCAAAGTCCTGGAATTATAGGCATGAGCCATTGCACCTGGCCTAATTTCCTTTTTATATATCAAGTGATTCACATATTAAATCAGAAAACATTTAGAAATATGCTCTAAATACAGTCTGGCGTGGTGGCTCATGCCTGTAATCTCAACACTTCGAGAGGCCGAAGTGGGTGGATCACCTAAAGTCAGGAGTTTGAGACCAGCCTGGCCATCATGGAGAAACCCTGTCTCTACTAAAAATACAAAAATTAGCTAGGTGTTTTGGCACACACCTGTAATCCCACTACTGGGGAGGCTGAGGCAAGAGAACCACTTGAACCCGGGAGGCAGAGGTTGCAGTCAGCCAAGATTGTGCCACTGCACCCCAGCCTGGGCGATGGAGCAAGTACTGTCTCATACACAAAGAAAAAATAAAAAAAGAAATGTGCTCTAAATTCAAGGTTAGAAAGGGCTTTTTCCATTTTTGATTCCCCGGCTTTCAGAATTGTACCAAAATTTATGATATAGTTCTTGCCAAGTTGGAATGGAGAAATTATTAAAAATCCAAAAAGAAAGAAAAAGAAGCACATGTTTCAGTATGGACATTTAATACTTTCAAGATGCATTGCTTTATCAAATTATTTAGAGAGTTTGACAGAAAAATACAGAAGAGCTTTTTCGTTTATAATAAATTATTATAGTAAGTATATTTTTTCCATATTGGTAAATATTTTAGATATATGGCTGTTATGAAAAAGGCAGTATTCATGGTATGAAATCCTTTGAACTAAGCCAAAATTTTATTAGTATTAATTATTTATTACAGAGGGAAGCTTATCTAACACATGGAATGAAAAGTACAGTTCTTTACAGAAAACACCTGTTTGGAAAGGCAGGAATACAAGCCCTGCTGTGGAAATGGTAAGGAGTGAGTTTTTCTTACATTTTAGAATAATTATAGCTAAGTTGTCTGTATTATTGTCATGTGTAAATTCTTGCAGCACAGTAAAAAATTTACAAGTTTTTTTCCCAACCTCAAGTGTCATTAAGCACTGTTTGATCTTATTTAGATAAATTAATTTGTACCCAATGATGATCTGGTCATCATTAAGCATTTGTTCAGTAATTGTGTAATAGTTTCTTTAAATAGGAAAAACAAAAAACTACAACTTAAAATTTTATCAGATATGCAAAAAATTTTACATGGCTTCATTCAGTACCTGCAAAAATATGTACGTGTATATATATATATATATATATATATATATATATATATGTGGTAAGGTATTAAAATCTTGTATAGCCAAAAAGAAAAAAAATCATTGTGTAACTCAAAGGTAAGTGCATTTAGAGATGGGAAGTAGAGATGAGCATATAATTGACATGACTAACGAGTTTAGGAACTCTGTTTCTCTCCTGCCCTGCCAGGTAGCCAGGAGGTTTTAAGGGTCTGTCTTGAAACAATCCTGGAGTTGGGATAGACAGCAGCAGTCGCAGTAGCCTGGGCAGCTGGCCACAGTGAATGTGAGGGGCTTTCCTCACATGTCAATTCCATCATCTTCATTCCCTTCCTCCTCTGCTTGTGGTCAGGGAACGGGGGCAGTATAGAATGGACTTCCTGTCAGGACTATAGAGTATCAAGACTCTGAGTGGGTTTAATTTCTTTTTGTTTTTCTTTTTTTGAGATGAGGTCTCGCTCTGTTGCCCAGGCTGGTCAGGAACTCCCAGGCCCAAGCGATGCTCCCCGCTCAGCCTCCCAAGTAGCTGGGACTACAGGTGTGTGCCACCATGCCCAGCTAATTAAAAACAAAAATTTTTTTGTAGAGATGGGGTCTCCTTGTGTTGCCCAGGCTGGTTTCCAGCTCCTGGGCTCAAGTGATCCTACTGCCTCGGCCTTCCGAAGTGCTGGGATTATAGGCATGAACCACTGTGCCCAGCCAGAGTGGGTTTAATTTCAAGGGTTTGTAGACCTGAGTGGATGTTGCCCATATGTTGTTAGCCCTCTGCATATGTTTCTCTTCCAAATAGCCATGAGGAGTGGGAGAAGGCTTTGAAAAGGGTGTAGGTCTTATTGCAATATTATTTCTTTTTCTCTCTATTAATGAAACCTCTGAACCTAGGGTGAACTGTAAAATTTTTCTTATTACAGACCCTTAAGTGTATGATGTACTTTTGGTACTTAAACAATTTTTTTAGTTCTATGGGTAATTATCAGATATCTATCATGTGTATCTTGTATTCTTATTTACCAATGAAAATTTGGTTAACGATTTTTGACAGCAGATCTAGTATAATAGTATACACATTTAGGCTTACTCTTCTAGAGTGGTTTAGAATCTTTGGCCCGGCCCAGCCATATGCAGCAGACATATGTCACACGCCTGATTGGTATTAACCCAAGCACCAACATAATTTGAACTGGAATTTCTGGAACTTATTTTCCTATCACCACTGTCCAAGGCTGCCAGTGTACTAAGGAGACTTGGGGTTCAAGTTTTACTTTATTCATCAGCTAGGTATTTCTTTCATAAGCAACTTGCATAAATACATCTTACTGCTTTCTAAATCTGAGGTTATTTATATTTGGCTTTGTGTGCTTTGTGTTGCCCATACTTTATTCTTCCATACTGCTGATAATCCAGAGTTAGCTCAGTTTTCCAAGTATAGAATTGTATTTTGGAACAAAAATGGGAGGGTTCAGCTTTTTCATTAAATGAAACATTTCTATCATAGCCTTTCAGAAATTCAAAACGAAGTCGACTTTTTTCTGATGAAGATGATAGGCAAATAAATACAAGGTCACCTAAAAGAAACCAGAGGGTTGCAATGGTTCCACAGGTATGTGTGTGCTAAAATTTTGTTTCATTGGAAAGGAAGTAAGCAAATGCTCAACCTAATAAAGTTTATATTTCTGTTACATTTTTAGTAACAAGTTCTTTTCTTTAAATTCGTACTGCTACTCTGGTCCTGTTTTAGTTACCTAGAAAACGTTATTTTTTTGATCAACTTTGAAACAGGATAGAAAGCTGGTCATTAGTCCTACAAATGCACAATTTTCTTTTAAGCATGGAGATAGTGGAAGAATTTGGCAGCATGGAATCAATTTTTAGATTTGCACTGAAATAAGGGGGAAAAAATGTTTTACTTGATCACTAAGACAAGTACGTTGAAGACTTCCTTTATCCAAGAGATGGAGTCTCACTCTGTCGCCCAGGCTGGAGTACAGTGGTGCGATCTCAGCTTACTGCTACCTCTGCCTCCTGGGTTCAAGCGATTCTCCTGCCTCAGCCTCCCGAGTAGCTGGGATTACAGGCTCACACCACCATGCCCAGCTGATTTTTATGTTTTAGTAAAGACAGGGTTTCACCATGTTGGCCAGGCTGGTCTTGAACTCCTGACCTCAAGTGATCTGCCCGCCTCAGCCTCCCAAAGTGCTGGGATTACAGTCGTGAGCCACTGCACCCTGCCGAGAGGAAAATATTTAGCATGAAATCATATCTCCTTATTTATTTTTGACATTTAAAAACTCATAGTGGACTGGGCACGGTGGCTCATGACTATAGTCACAGCACTTTGGGAAGCCAAGGTGAGCGCATCACTTGAGGCCAGGAGTTCGAGACCAGCCTGGCCACAATGAGAAAACCCTGTCTCTACTAAACATACAAAAGAACTAGCTGGCATGATGGCACACACCTGTAATCTCAGCTACTTGGGAGGCTGAGGCATGAGAACTGTTTGAACCCAGGAGGCGGAGGTTGCAGTGAGCTGAGATCATGCCACTGCACTCCAACCTGGTTAACAGAGCAAGACTCTGTCTCCAAAAAAAAAAAAAATTAGACATGTAAAAATCAAAGGAATTAAAATTGGATAAGGAAATATTAACTTTAAGGGTAATGTAATTTTTGTCTTATCCATTTTATAACTTCTGATACAATCATTCCCTGTTTCTCTTTCATTATTTTCCAAAGTCTTATAAAACAAGATTTTCTAGTGTAATAGATGGTAGAGGTGATAGTCTCAACCAAGAATTTAGCGTTACGTTTTTTTTTGAAACTGGGTTTTGCTCTTCTTGCCCAGGTGGAGTACAGTGGTGCGATCTCGGCTCACTGCAACCTCTGCCTTCTGGGTTCAAGCAATTCTCCTGCCTTAGCCTCCTGAGTAGCTGGGATTACAGGCATGCGCCACCATGCCCGGCTAATTTGGTATTTTTAGTAGAGACAGATTTCTCCATGTTGGTCAGGCTAATCTTGAACTCCCAACCTCAGGTGATCCGCCTGCCTCGGCCTCCCGAAGTGCTGAGATTACAGGCATGAGCCACTGCTCCCAGCCAGGTTTTTTTTGGGGGGGTGGGGGAGGGGACTGCACTGGCATGGTTTTGGCTCACTGCAATCTCTGCCTCCCATACTGAAGTGATTCTTGTCCCTTAGCCTCCCGAGTAGCTGGAACTATAGGCACAAACCACCACACCTGGCTAATTTTTGTATTTTCAGTAGAGACAGGCTTTTGCCACGCTGGCCAGGCTAGTCTCGAACTCCTGACCTCAAGCAATCCACTCACCTCAGCCTCCCAAAGTGCTAGGATTACAGGTGTGAGCCACTGCACTCGACCCAAGGATTTAGCATTAAGTAAATTAAAAGCATGACCAGCAATCTACCCTACCAATAAAAACTCTTAAATGCCTTGTGATAATTTTAAACAGGAAAATATGTTCATGTTCTGTAGAATGAACAAAAATGTATCTTGAACTTCAAAAAAAATGCTGTCAAGGCCAAGTGCACATAAGTATCTAATAATTTGATCTTGTAATCCCAGCACTTTGGGAGGCCAAGGCAGGCAGATCACTTGATGTTAAGAGTTTGAGACCAGTCTGGCCAACATGGCAAAATGCCATCTCTACAGTAAATACAAAAATTAGTTGGGCATGGTGGCACACACCTATAATCCCAGCTCCTCACTTGAACCTGGGAGGCAGAGGTTGCAGTGAGCCGAGATCACAGCTGTACACTCCAGCATGGGTGACAGGACAAGAGTCTGTCTCAAAAAATAGATTAACTAAAATAAATTTAAAAATAATAGGAATTTGATCTTGTTGAAACTGAAATGCAATGTGCATTTCTTGGCTAAGTTAGCTGTTGTATACAAGGTTGAATGAACAAGAAATAGTTAAGTAACAATTTTGTTAGCTAGACTTTGGAATAGCTATGTTACTAAGATAATCTAGATGATTCACAAGCATATAGAAAACTGATCTTTAAGACTGTGACACTGTCCTGTTGCAACTCTATCCACTGCCTTCCTTCCTGAGCACATCACTCCTTCTGGGACTATTTTACAGAGCCCTTTTTAGCAATGGAGAGAATTCTGAGCAATACAGAACAAATATAATGTAGGATAAACGTGATATGAGACTTCTTCAAATATGTGAAAAGTTTTTATATCCTCTGAGTTTTCTCTTTACTAGTTGTAGCATCTTTAGTTCTTTCCATCTTCCTTTACCTGACATGGCTTGTTCCCTTACCCTCCTTAGTCATATCTTCTAAATCTCTTGCATTTTGTCTATATGTTTATTTAAAGAACACCACCCAGAGCTGAAAAATTATGAAAACTATTACTAATTACTTATGTGTTGAGTCCTGTTTTAAGCACTTCATACGTATTACTTTGATTTAATCTTCAACAACAACTATGAAATAGGTTACTGTTATATTATTTCCCATTTTGTAGATAAGAAAACAGACACAGATAAGTATCTTACTCAAGAACTCAAAGCTAGGAAGTAAAGACTGATAACAGTCAGGCAGCCTGTCTCCAGAGTCCTACTTTAAAAAGAAAAAACCCAGCTTTGTTAAGATAGACTTTACATATACAAATCATATATTTAAAGCATACAGTTTGGCTGGGCACAGTGGCTCATTTTGAGAGGCCAAGGTGGGAGGATTGCTTGAGCTCAGGAGTTTGAGACCAGCTTGGGCAACAAAGTGAGACCCTGTCTTTACAAAAAAAATCGAAAAAAAGAATTAGCCAGGCATGGTGGTAGCACACCTGTGGTACCAGCTATTTGGGAGGCCAAAGTGGGAGGATCACTTGAGCCCAGGAGATTGAGGCTGTAGTGAGCTATGTTCAGACCACTGCAGTCCAGCCTGGGCAATAGAACAGAGATCCTGTCTGTTTTAATAATTTATGTTTCTGGTCTGGTGCAGTGGTGCATGCCTGTAGCACTTTGGGAGGCTAAGGCAGGTGGATGGCTTAAGCTCAGGAGTTCCAGATCGGCCTGGGCAACATGGCGAAACCCTGTCTCTACCAAAAATACAAAAATTAGCTGGGTGTGGTGGCATACTCCTGTAGTCCCAGCTACTCAGGAGGCTGAGACAGGAGAATCGCTTGAATCTGGGAGGTGGAAGCTGCAGTGAGCTAAAATTGCGCCACTGTACTCCAGCCTGGGTGACAGAGTAAGACCCTGTCTCAAACAATCAATAAAAGATTCCCTTTAACAATGTAAATCTATTTTCCCATACCCAACAAGCGGGTCCTTAATATAGTTTTATATTCGATGAGCTACTAATACCCTGTATACCCTATTTAAAAATCTGGGTCAATAATGTAGTAGAAAGAAATAACACTTTTTGTGATAAGAATATAGTAATTTGGTTATTTATGCTAAACATCTCCTCACTTATAAAATTTTTCTTTTTTCTTTTTTTACATTAAAATTTTTTTTTTCGCCGGGCGCGGTGGCTCAAGCCTGTAATCCCAGCACTTTGGGAGGCCGAGACGGGTGGATCACGAGGTCAGGAGATCGAGACCATCCTGGCTA